AGTGGCGCCCCCTCCAGTCGGGGACCTCGCGCGGCCGGCCGCGACGTTGGTCCCTGTGAGTACTGGATCCTTACGGGTCCTCGTAGGGACTCGTACTGTGGCTGCCCCAACCACTCTGCTGCACGCTGCTTCAGTCGTCTCGATGACCTCTACCTCCTGCACCACGGCCCCTCCGCTCCCCCGCCGCCACGCTGGGGGACGCTTCTTGCTCGTGGTATTGCTGTTTTTGATATGACTATGGATGATGCTAGGTCATATGCCATGTATGCTGATGTTGACTATAGTGCTCCTGGATCTGTGTACTTGCCTGTTGCTAGAGTAGGTGCTAGTGTAGGATCTTGTTTAGCTACTAGTACAGGTACTCCCTCGGCGGACGCGTCTCTCTCCTTCACACTGGACTCAGGAGCATCGCACTGCTGCTTCCGCGACTGCACGACGGGGTCTGGGTTGAGCCTTCTGGTGACACCGCAGTCTGCGTCGACGGTGACACGTACGCCCCCTTGGCCACTTTCCGCCAGGAGCCGGGCTCTGGTCTGTACACCCTCCGCACCGACCCCCGTCAGGTTCCCCCGTCCCACCAGGTAGCCGGGTCCAGTCAGGTTGCTGTGTCAGGTGTAGTTGTTGCGTCGTGCTCGTGTCGGTCGCTTGCTCACCCCACCGTTCTGTGGCACCACCGGATGGGGCACCCGTCCCTTCCTCGTCTGCGCGCCATGTCCAGTCAGCGTCTTGTCTTAGGCCTCCCCCGAGTCCTCCCACCACTCCCGCCGTCCCCAGCTCCTCCGTGCGGTCCTTGTGTCCAGGGTCGGCTTCGCGCCACCCCTCACTCCTCCTCCCTTCGTCCGGCCACCGAGCCCTTCCAGACACTCCACTTAGACGTCTGGGGCCCCGCCTCCCGCCTTGGCCCTGAGCGGGAGAGTTTCTTTCTGGTGGTCGTTGACGACTACTCTCGGTACACCACCGTGTTCCCCTTGGCGAAGAAGTCCGACGTGACTTCTACGCTGATCCGGTGGCTCCTCGCCACCGAGGGCACTCGTGGTCGTCGTGTCAGTTGTCTCCACTCCGACCGTGGGGGTGAGTTTCGCTCCGGCATTCTCGCCAGATTCTGTGCTGAGCAGGGCATCACCCAGTCTTGGACTCTTCCAGACTCTCACCCAGTCTTGGACTCTTCCAGACTCTCCACAACAGAATGGGGTTGCTGAGCGCCGCTTAGGCCTGGTCATGGAGATCGCCCGCACCTCCATGATCCACGCCCGCGCGCCCCATTTTCTGTGGCCCTACGCGGCTCGGTACGCCGCTCACCAGCTGAACCTCTGGCCTCGCGTCTCTCGGCCAGGGGCTTCACCGACCAGTCTTTGGACAGGGTCCCCTGGTGTTGCGTCGAGGTTTAGTGTCTGGGGCTGCTTGGCTCTTGTCCGCGACACCTCTGCGGACAAGATCTCGCCTCGCGCCGTCCCCTGTGTCTTCCTTGGTTTCCCAGAGGGCTCCTCGGACTTCACCTTTTACCACCACACTCCCACCGGTTCTTTGACTCTTGTGACATCCGTTTCGACGAGTCCGTCCCCTACTACGTCAGGTACCCCTCCCGAGGTCTCCCGGTTCCCCCCCCCCCCTCTTCCCGGCTCCAGCTCCTCCTCCTCCCGACCCTACTCCTCCTGGTACCCCCCCCCCTGTTCCCGCTCCGTCTGGTGTGTCCCACGCTACTCCCCCTCCCTCGGTACCCCCCCAGGTCTCTCCTCCTTCCCCACAGTCGTCCTCACCGCCTCCGCAGCAGCCGTCGCCGCTTCCTTCACCGGCCACTGCGGACTCTGAGGTTGTTGGTGCTCGAGGAGAGGGCTTTGGTGGTGCTCGCTCTGGGGGTGCTGGCGTTGGAGCTGTTCGTGCACCTATAGAAGCAGCCAGTTCTGGGGGTGTTGGCGTTGGCGCTGAGCGTGCACCTGCCGCAGCTGCCCGTCAGAGGGTACTGGAGCTGGTGGTGGTGCTGGAGCTGGTGGTGTTTCTGGAGCTAGAGAGTCTGGGACCGGTACTGGCGCTACTGGGGGCACCACGGCTGGGGGTGCGGGTACACCTCCTACAGGTGCTGGTCGTGCTGCTGCGAGGGGTACTCGCTCTGGGGGTGCTCAGCCGGGTTCTGTCGAGGGCGGAGCAGGTTCTTCTTCGTCGTCTCCTGACACCACTCCTCCTCCTCACCCTTACCCGACTCGACACCAGGCCCGTCTTCGTCTTGAGCGTGAGGAGCAGCAGCGTTTGGAGCGTGAGAGGTTGGAGGTTCAGCAGCGGGTGGAGCGTGAGAGGTTGGAGTTGCAGCAGCAGCAGCAGCAGCAGCAGGCAGCAGCAGCAGCAGTAGCCGCAGCAGCAGCAGCAGCAGCGGCAGCAGCCGCAGCAGCCGGAGCAGCCTCCGGCACCTGTTTCTGGCCTTCGGGCCCTTGGTCTCCCCTCCTCTCCTCCTGTGTTCGGTCCTACGTTTCCTCCTCCGGACTCCACTCCGGCTGTCTTCCCTCGTTCTCAGTCTCCTCCGTCCCCCCCTCCTCTCGCCCACACTTGGGCCTCTCGTCCTCCTCGTGCTTGTCCCTTGTCCCCTGTCACTGACCTCCGTACCGTGTTGTTTCGTCCTAGTCCTCCTCGTTCTCCTCCGTCTGTCCTTCCTCGTCCTCCTGAGTCGTCCCTCACTGCCTCCCTGTCCACTCCGGTCACTGACTACTACCGCACGTACCGCCCCACTCTCTCTCGTGTTCTCGCCTCTCTTGTTACACTCTCTGTTACAGACCCTCGTGCCTCTCCTTCCTCCGTCGCGGTCCTCACTGCCGCTGTCACTGACTTTACTGCAATGCGTCGCCTTGACTACGCCACTCGTGTTGTGGCCGCTCCTCCTGTCCGTCCTCTGTCCGCCGGGGGTGAGTCTGCCCTTGGCTGTGACGTCCTAGAGGACAGACAGTTTGAGCTAGAGTTCCTGGCAGCTGCTTCACCTCATCTCTGTGCCATGCTGCTCACTCCTGAGGGAGACCCCGACGCTCCTGACATACCTACTCCTCGCACTTACGCTGAGGCAGTGTCAGGGCCTTGGGCCTCTCAGTGGAGAGCTGCCATGGACGCAGAGATGGCCTCCTACAGGTCCACAGGCACTTACGTTGACGAGGTTCCCCCCCCAGGGGCGAACATCGTTGACGGCATGTGGATCTTCAAGGTGAAGCGGCCGCCGGGATCTCCCCCAGTCTTCAAGGCACGCTACGTGGCTAGAGGTTTCAGTCAGCATGAGGGAGTTGACTTCTTTCAGACCTTCGCGCCCACCCCGAAGATGACCACTCTTCGGGTGTTACTGCACGTAGCAGCGCAGAGAGACTACGAGCTTCACTCTCTTGACTTCTCCACTGCCTTCCTCCAGGGCCGCCTACACGAGGAGATCTGGCTGCGTCGTCCTCCGGGCTTCACTGGCACCTTCCCGCCTGGGACCCAGTGGAGCCTCAGACGACCGGTCTACGGTCTCCGCCAGGCACCCCGTGAGTGGCACGACACTCTCCGCTCTACTCTCTCCGACCTCGGGTTTGAGCCGTCTTCCGCCGACCCGTCGCTGTTTGTTCGTCGTGGGCGCACACCTTTCTTCGTTCTGGTCTACGTTGACGACTTGGTTTTTGCCACAGCCGACACAGCTGCACTGGCGGAGGTGAAGTCCGAACTGCAGAAGAGACACACCTGCACTGACCTTGGGGAACTGCGCCGCTACCTTGGCCTGCAGATCTCTAGGGACAGAGCCGCTCGCACCATCACTCTAATTCAGTCACACATGGTGCAGCAGGTCCTTCAGCGGTTCGGGCTTCAGGACTCTTCTCCTGCCCCCACTCCTCTTGCTGTAGACCACAGACTCACTGGGCCTTTTCCTGACGAGCCGTTCGAGCCCAGTGGTCCCTACGCAGAGCTGGTGGGCTGCCTCATGTACCTGATGACGTGCACTCGCCCGGACCTCGCCTTCCCTCTTAGCATCCTGTCTCGCTCTGTTGTGACTGGGAGACACCGTCCTGTTCACTGGGCGGCGGCTAAGAGGGTGGCGAAGTACCTTGGCGCGACATCAGGCATGGGGCTTGTACTTGGAGGGACACAGCCAGTTGTACTCACCGATCACTGCGACTCCTCCTAAGCCGACAACGTTGAGACTCAGAGGTCTACGCAGGGTTACTGTTTCAGCCTGGGCTCTGGAGCTGTTTCGTGGAGGTCTACTCGGTCCTCCTCGGTTGCGACTTCTACCGCAGAGGCCGAGATCTACGCTGGGGCCCTTGCTGCTCAGGAGCTACGCTGGTTGACCTTTTTGCTCACTGACCTTGGTGAGCGGCCGAGCTCTGCACCGACCCTGTTTGCTGACAACAGGGCGATGATTCTCCTGTGTCGTGAGCCTCGACTGGAGAGCAGAGTGAAGCACATCGACGTCAGGTACTTCCTCCTTCGAGAGTTGCAGAGACGCGGGCAGGCTCGTCTGGACTTCGTGGCCTCCGAGGCCAACACTGCAGACATCTTCACCAAGGCTCTTCAGCCTTGTGACCACCGCCGGTTCTGTCTGCAGTTGGGCCTCGTTGAGACTGGGTCGAGTAGACTGCAGTAGTGAGTGCTTGTCTCTTGTCTTTGCTTGTACTGTATATATTTGCATATACACTCTTGAACTGGCCTTGTGGCCGCTGTTTGTGCTCAGACAGTGTGGTGACGTTGTGATCCACCCTGAGCTTTGTTTTGTCTTTTGTTTGTGACTGGTCTTGTGACCTTAGGTTGCGTTTCTTGTTGCTTGGCATTCCCCACTTAGGCTATGGGGGTGTGTCAAATGTTATAGCCTGTTGTGGGTCATGCTAGATGGGGTACAAACAGTAAGGGTTAGGCATATGTACCCCAACCCAATCAATCCTACTCATTCCGCTGTGTTCTGTTTCTTAGATGTAGGGTTTCATGTGGTAAGATCCTAGGTACCCGGGGAGTTGCAATTACTGTAAGCTAGCTGGAAATTTGCTCCCTCCATCCACTGCTTAATTGTCAGCTGTGAGCACCATAAGTGGTTGAGTAAAACTTGATCCACGGTGCTCGTGGTACAGTTGCTCCAAGCTGCTAGCTCCAAACACATCCAGCAGCTTCCAACCAGCCAAGAGAAGAGGCATGCGAATGGGCCCATAGATACGGTGCGAGTTGTACACCAGAGTGTCGTTGCCCACTGGCACTCCAAGAAACAGCAACCCCCCTGGCTTGATTAAGCCCTTAATCTGGTGCGCAGGGAAGTGCAAGAAGTGGATAGAGTCATGAGGGCACAGTTGATAGGCCAGTACTCTGCATATTCACATGGCACCGCAACAGCAGCACAATGGCAGTGACGCAACGGCACCAATAGCAGGCCATGAGGCACGGCGCCCCTCACTTTGTGCATGCGCACCTCTCACCTTGTGCATGCGCGCCTCTCACCTTGTGCATGCGCGCCTCTCACCTTGTGCATGAGCGCCTCTCACCTTGTGCATGCGCGCCTCTCACCTTGTGCATGCGCGCCTCTCACCTTGTGCATGCGCGCCTCTCACCTTGTGCATGCGCGCCTCTCACCTTGTGCATGCGCGCCTCTCACCTTGTGCATGCGCGCCTCTCACCTTGTGCATGAGCGCCTCTCACCTTGTGCATGAGCGCCTCTCACCTTGTGCATGCGCGCCTCTCACCTTGTGCATGCGCGCCTCTCACCTTGTGCATGCGCCTCTCACCTTGTGCATGAGCGCCTCTCACCTTGTGCATGCGCGCCTCTCACCTTGTGCATGCGCGCCTCTCACCTTGTGCATGCGCGCCTCTCACCTTGTGCATGCGCGCCTCTCACCTTGTGCATGCGCGCCTCTCACCTTGTGCATGCGCGCCTCTCACCTTGTGCATGAGCGCCTCTCACCTTGTGCATGAGCGCCTCTCACCTTGTGCATGCGCGCCTCTCACCTTGTGCATGAGCGCCTCTCACCTTGTGCATGCGCGCCTCTCACCTTGTGCATGAGCGCCTCTCACCTTGTGCATGCGCGCCTCTCACCTTGTGCATGAGCGCCTCTCACCTTGTGCATGCGCGCCTCTCACCTTGTGCATGCGCGCCTCTCACCTTGTGCATGCGCGCCTCTCACCTTGTGCATGCGCGCCTCTCACCTTGTGCATGCGCGCCTCTCACCTTGTGCATGCGCGCCTCTCACCTTGTGCATGCGCGCCACTCACCTTGTGCATGCGCGCCTCTCACCTTGTGCATGAGCGCCTCTCACCTTGTGCATGCGCGCCTCTCACCTTGTGCATTAGCGCCTCTCACCTTGTGCATGAGCGCCTCTCACCTTGTGCATGCGCGCCTCTCACCTTGTGCATGAGCGCCTCTCACCTTGTGCATGCGCGCCTCTCACCTTGTGCATGCGCGCCTCTCACCTTGTGCATGCGCGCCTCTCACCTTGTGCATGCGCGCCTCTCACCTTGTGCATGCGCGCCTCTCACCTTGTGCATGCGCGCCTCTCACCTTGTGCATGCGCGCCTCTCACCTTGTGCATGCGCGCCTCTCACCTTGTGCATGCGCGCCTCTCACCTTGTGCATGCGCTGCAGGTCGCCGAAGGGGTTGATGGGGTCGCCATAGCGGCCCAGCCCGTCGTGCTCCAGCGACGAGAACGACACCGCCACGTCAAACACCTCGTCCGTACCCTCCAGCTCATCCACCAGCATCTGCCGCATCTTGGGGTGCGACGCGATGGGCTTGTTGAAGTCCACCGTTGTGATGGCCTGTGCATCGAATCCCAGGCAGATGGATTCCACCCACGGGCTGCGGCTGCCGATCACCAGCACGGACTTGCCGCTCACGGGGTAGCGCTCAAACGCCGCCAGGAACGCCGCCGTGACGTTGGGCCCGTACGACCCCAGCGCCGGGTCCCTGGCCCGCGCCTGCGCTGCACGCGCATCGATGTCGTCGTTGGTCCACACGAATGACTTGGCCACAGAGCCAGGCTTGCTCTTGCTGTGCCACCAGCACACCACCTGCACGGCAGGATGAGGGCCACGCACGCACAACCATGTCGTCACACACGTGCCCCCGCAGCACACACGCTCTCTCACGAGCTGCCAACCACGTGTGAGAACATCTCACATGCACTTTTTCAAATCCTACACCCACCCGCTCTCTCCCTTCTCCCTTCCCCCGCCCCCCCCTGCGCCCGTCGTACCGCGACGCGTCCCCCCAGCGTGAACTGCTCGCGCACTCGCTGTCGCACGAACCGCCACGGCACGGGACCCGGGAAGCCGTAGTTGCTGATGTGGAACCGCGTGCGCGCAGGCGCGCCGTCTCCCTCGCTGCCAGGGCCCAACCACGACGCCACGAGCGCTGCTGCGTCTGACGCGGCGCCTGGCGCGCCCGTGCGCGCGTCGGTGAAGTGCGCGAGCGGTTCCGACGGCACGTCTTCCTCTCCCTCGCTGTCCCCGCCGCACGGATCGCAGCCCGCTGGCGGGACGGGGAGGGGGTAGGCAAGGCACGGGAAACAGGTGCGGGGACGCGCGAGTGATGCAGGGAAGTGGGTTCGAGGAGAGAAGCAAGATGCAATGCGTGCACGGATGAACGCATTGAGCTTGTTGTGCTGGCGATGCCCTACAAGTCCGTTGAGCAACCAGATCTCATCGTCCACGTGGAGAGGTCAAAGCCATGCTGCTGACGCACGGCACGAGGCAGCCACAGCGGCGTCGCAGCAGCTTACAGGAGTTGGAGAGGGCGAAGCGGAGGGCGAGAGCGAGCAGCGCGGCCGCCAGCAGGGCCAATGCAGGCGCGCGCTTGAGCCAGTCGCGCGCGAAAGCGGCCAAGGGTCGCAGAGCCATGGCGAACGACGCGAGGGCAGAGATGGCACGTGAGACAGGGAGACGAGGGACGGCAAGGCGACGGACGCGGAGAAGCAGGGTGGCGGCGTGGGTTAGCTCAAGATTCAGCGCGAGAGGTATAATCACACATTAGGGGGACAGCTGCCATGAACGTCATTCAACACGCAATGTGTTACGACTGCAATTGAGCAAGTGAGCGAGAATTGCACTATGAAAGATATATAGTTGTAATGACTATACGTACATTCATTGCTGTAAAGGCTGCTCCTAGCGAGGACAGCCCGAGCACTTCGCATCAGGATGGCTCGGCCTACACTTTCGCACCGAACCAATTCCGAGTCGCCCCGCACCAATCGCGACATTTCCGAGCCACGCACACCTAGAGGTTCTCGCCTAGCTAGTTTCGCCCTATATATTCGCGCTTTCTTCATCGTTTCTTCATTTTCTAATCACGTTCTCTTTATAGAAGTCTTCCGCGCACTCTGTTTAGTACAACTCATAACACTTGGTATCAAAGCTACTTTCCTAGCTTCCTCTTTTTTTAGAGTGTATTGTCAAGTTGGTACTAGGTGTCAAGATATGAACGGATGGGTTTAGGTGGGGCCTAAGCTTAGGAGCCTAGGCCCAAGGGAGTCTTGAGGGTTGTGCCAAGAGGATGACGAGAATAAGAGGGGGATTCACAATAGCAGAGAGGGTACATATAGAGAAGAGGTGGTGGCACAAGGAGGGGTATACCACCTGTTAGAATCTAGCAGCAGGAATGGATGAACTAGCAGCATGCAGGAGTACAAGTAGTAAACCCTAATTGGGTTGTACCCCATATGGGCTACCCCACTACAGCCTAGACAATATGCAGCATATATGTTTGACACACCCCCATAGGCAAAGTGGGGGAGAACAAAGGGTCACACGACCAGTCATGAGAAGCAGAGCAAGCTCAGGGTGGATCACAACATCACCACACACTCTGAGCACAAGCAAAGGGCCACAAGGCCAGTTCACATGCAGAGATATATATGCAGCAATAACAATACAGTGATGACTACCTAGCAAGAGCCAGCATGCAGGTATATATATAGATCACAGTACAAGCAAAGTCTGTCAGAATGTTATTATCTAGCCTGTAGTGGGGTGCTCTATAGCGGGTACAACCCAGTTAGGGTTTGCTATATGTATCCCAACTGCAGCTAGTGAAACCTCCTCCTTTGCTCATTTCTCTCTTGCCTAGCTAGGGTTTACCTAGCTATGGCTCCTCATCGTGCCTACTATTCTAACATGCTATCAGAGCGGTTACGCTCCTAGCATGTGGGCCCGCCTGCTTCCGCTGCCTTCCTGTGTGTCGCGCGTCCCGTGGCGCGCGATGTTCGTTTTTTCTTCCCGCCGTGCGCCCCGAGGCGCGCGGCGGTTTCCTCCCTCGTGCGTCACCCCGGGGACCCGCGCTTCCCCCCCTCCCGTCGACCTCCCCGTCGCCCGTCGAAGCGCCCCCCGTCGCCCGTCGAAGCGCCCCCTGTCGCCCGTTACGGAGCCCGCGGACCCGCGCGTCGCCCCCCGTCGCCCGACGCGGCCCGCGCGACCTGCGCCAGGCCCGCGCGCGGCCCGTACGGGCTGCGCCAGGCCCGCGCGCGGCCCGTACGGGCTGCGCCAGGCCCGCGCGCGGCCCGGACAGCCTGCCTCAGGGCCGCGCGCCGTCCCCCGCGCTCCTGCCCCGTGCCACCCGTTTTAGAATTTGGGGGTGGCGAGTGTGGGGGTGGCGGTTATGGGGGTGCAAGAGTGTGCGCCGTCCCCTGCTCCTCCTCCTCCTCCGTCTCCCACTTCTGCAGCTGCCGCTGTTGGAGGTGTCAGAATGAACGGACTGGGATGATGGACTAGCAAGGATTGTGAGTACAAATATGAAACCCTAATGTTGTGACCCCCCTGTAGGCTAACCCACTACAGCCTACACAAATACAACATGTATAATGTTTGACACACCCCCATAGGCAAAGTGGGAGAGACCTAGGGGTCACAAGACCAGTCAAGGCAAAGCAAGGCAACAACAAGCTCAGGGTGGATCTCAAGGATTCCACACAAATTCCGAGCGCAAGCTAGTGGTCACAAGACCAGTTCACATGCAGGTTTATAACAGAGCAAGAGATACAGTGATCACAACCTAGCAAGAGTAAACATGCAGGTATAGATATATATAGTGATCACAGTACAAGCAAAGTCAAGAGGTAAGCAAGTGAGGTCCAGTAGGCACAAGGCCTAGTAGAGTGCAGAAGCGCTGATGGTCACGAGGCTGAAGCGCCTTGGTGAACACATCAGCAGTGTTGGCCTCAGTGGCCACGTAGCGAATACAAAGCTGACCGCGCTGCTGCAGCTCTCGAGCAAGGAAGTACCGCAGGGCGATGTGCTTCGTTCTGTGCTCCAGTCTGTGCTCCTCACACAAGGCAATGGCAGCCTTGTTGTCGACGTACAGTACTGGAGGAGAACGAGGCCGCTCTCCGAGGTCGGTCAGCAGGTAGGTCAGCCAGCGTAGCTCCTGGGCAGCCATGGCTGTAGCGTAGATCTCAGCCTCGCAACTGGAGCCGAGAACAGAAGAAGAACGTGTAGAGCGCCAAGAAACTGAGCCAGAGCCAAGGCTGAAGGTGTAACCCTGAGACGACCGCTGAGTGGCCTGGTCGTCTGCCCAAGAAGCGTCTGAGTGCCCTGTGAGAACAACTCGGTCTCGCCCTCCAAGCACAAGCCCCATGCCCGACGTACTGCACAAGTAGTGCAACACCCTCTTAGCGGCATCCATGTGCTCCTTCCTGTGACGGCCAGGAGCGACATAGCGTGCAAGGATGCTAAGAGGGTATGCAAGGTCAGGTCGAGTGCAGGTCATCAGGTACATGAGGCAGCCCACAAGCTCTGGATACGGGCCACTCGGCTCTACGGACTCATCCGAAGGCAGAGCTGAGAGCGAGTGACCGGTAGGCAGAGGAGTGGACTGAGGCGAGGAGTACGTGAAGCGGAAGCGCTGGAGAACCTGCTGCACCATGTGTGACTGAGTCAGGGTGATGGTGCGCCGTGCTCTGTCCCGGGTGATCCGCAAGCCAAGATAGCTTGTCAGCTCACCCAGGTCTGTGCACGTGTGTCTCCTCTGCAGCTCCGACTTCACGTAGGCGAGTCCTGCAGTGTCAGCAGTGGCAAAGACCAATTCGTCGACGTACACGAGGATGTAGAACGGCGGCAGCGAAGTGTCGGTGCGCAGGAACAGCGACGGGTCAGCTGTAGAAGGCGCGAACCCAAGGGCCGCAAGTGTAGTCCTCAGTGTGTCGTGCCACTCACGCGGAGCCTGGCGGAGACCGTAGACCGGCCGCTGAAGCCTCCACTGGGTACCAGGAGGAAACGACCCAGTGAAGCCAGGTGGGCGGCGCAGCCAGATCATTTCGTGCAGGCTGCCCTGCAAGAAAGCAGTGCTGAAGTCAAGTGAGTGAAGCTCGTAGTCGCGGTGAGCGGCTATGTGCAGCAGCACCCGAAGAGTAGTCATCTTCGGGGTGGGGGAGAAGGTCTGGAAGAAGTCAACTCCCTCTCGCTGACTGAAGCCTCGAGCCACGTAACGCGCCTTGAAGACAGGCGGAGAACCCGGCGGCCGCTTCACCCTGAAAATCCACATGCCACTGACGATGTTCGCCCCAGGAGGGGGAACCTCGTCGACGTAGGTGCGTGTGGACTTCCAGGAAGCCATCTCGGCGTCCATGGCTGTCTGCCACTGAGAGGAGTAGGGACCCGCCATCGCCTCAGCGTAAGTGCGCGGGGTCGGGATGTCTGGTACATCCGGGTCTCCCTCAGGGGCAACTAGCAAGGACACGAGACGGGGCAAAGCAGCAGCAAGACACTGGAACTCCTCCTGTCTGTCCTCAAGGACGTCCGTGCCAAGAGCACACTCACCCCCGACGGACGGAGGACAGACAGACTCAGACTCAGCAACAAGGCTAGCAGCGTAGTCTAGACGACAGGCAGCAGCAAAGTCAACCAACTCAGCGACCAGAGCAGACGCAGCCGAGGACTCAAAGGTAGGGTCAGTGACAACAGTAGCGAGGAGACGCGTGACAGTAGGGTGCTCAGCACGATACCGGTCAGACTCAGGGTCCGGAACGTCAGGCAAAGAGGACGCAGGAGGAGACGGTAGAGGGACACGCTGAGGAGCAGTAGAGGGACGCAGAGTCATGTAGTGAGTGCCTGGGACAGGAGGAGGACGCTCACGACGGACACGACTACCAGTGCGAGCAGGACGAACAGGCGACGCAGGACGAGACTCAGGCTCACGACGCTCTGTAAGACCTCTTGTGGGACCAGTGTAAGGAGAGGGAGCAGGGAGAGGCGAGGTAGGCGGTAACTGTGACTGCGGCTGGACAGGCGGAGGACACTCTACGGAGGGAGGAGGACAAGGAGGAGGAGCCTGCCCAAGAACCTGCTGAAGGAGCGGGACGAAGTACGGTCGCGCACGCGCAGCGTCTCCAGAAGCAGAAGAGACTCCAGCGGCCGGGTCCTCAGTACCAGTAGGAGCTCCAGCGTCCGGGTCCTCAGCACCAGTAGTAGCTCCAACGCCCGGGTCCTCAGCAGCAGCAGCAGCGCCACCGCTCGGGTCCTCAGCTCCAGCAGCAGCTCCACCGTCCGAGTCCTCAGCACCAGCAGCAGCTCCACCGCCCGGGTCCTCAGCACCAGTAGCAGCTCCAACGTCCGGGTCCTCAGCACCAGCAGCAGCGCCACCGCCCGGGTCCTCAGCTCCAGTAGCAGCTCCAACGTCCGAGTCCTCAGCACCAGCAGCAGCTCCACCAGGCGGGTCCGCAGCACCAGCAGCAGCTCCAACGTCCGGGTCCTCAGCACCAGCAGCAGCGCCACCCCCAGGGTCCACAGCACCAGGAGCACCACTCCGAAGACTGCAGCGCCGTGTGTACCACTCGCGGATCTGCTGAATGGGGGGGAGCTCCTGGGTAGGAGGGGAAGTACCGGGACGAGCTCCAGGAGCACCTCTC